GTCCCCCAAAATGGTAGGCGAGGCGACTATGACTGTTATTACAGCATGAAACTTGGTGGATCTGGGAGCTTGATGCGACCAGACCACTTGGCCTTAATGACCACATAAGCTTATCTTCATTGTTGGGGTGAACTGAAATAATGAATGCAGTGGTGGGGAGGGATTGAGAGATTTGTGAACAAAAGACCATGTTATTACTCAAGTGGGTGGGATTTGGCGAGGAAGATGAAGTCCAGCAAAGAGGTTAAATCTTGATTCATGAACACTTCTTTACAATTTTTACCTCTCTGGAATTTTATTAGGGGGCTGCTAAGTGTTTAAAATGAGCATTTTTATGAACAAGTCTGTTTGCCACTTAGTGTCTCCATTTGGGCATTACTTGAACTATTAAAACATTTGGTTTTGTATAACAACTTTAAATTTATATGGCAGCCTTTTAATTAAATCATAATACATTAAGTACTGTATGGGCGTTTTTGTTTGTAGGTATTTTGATGGAGTCAGATCATTTTCTTGCTTCTAAATGTATTCCTTCTTGCCTCATTTCACCATTTCTCTATCCCCTTTATTATTTTTATTTTTCCAAGATGGCAGCAACGCAGGGATGTCGCAACGTCATGTATGACATCATGGGTGTGCGTTGTGACGTCATTCTGTACCTCGCATGGGCATTCTGTCCGTAGTGGCCATCTTGAAACCTTAAATAGGATTCATGGATTTACAAGTGCTATAAGCCTCTGATGCAGCTGTGGGGGGTCTGGTGAAACCGGTCAGGCAGGGACATCGGTCTTGCCAGGATCTATGATGGGCTATTCAATGGATTGATGAGTATACATTCCTCATATACTTTGGAACGAGGGGCAATCTTTGGATAATGAAATGGAATATGGCCTCTAACCTTACACTGTTAGACCATCTGTGATGCTCACTCTAGGATGGAGTCAGCATTAATATGGGAGATATATTTGTTGTTGACGTTTGCATTGGTGGCTCCCAACTAAGCAGGCGCAAACAACATTTCAAGCGGCTGCTTGTGTGAGAGAGGTTCATGTTTTATATATATTTTGGCTGATATACATCGATAGAGAGCCTTTACAATCAATATTTTTCCCTCCTCTGGACCACATTCAGCTGTCTCACGGCCATATATATTCATCCAGAATGGCTCAAACACAATTTATCCAGCGGATTTACCAGTTGGTTATTCTCCAATGTCCAATATACTAGCACCCATTTTGGTTTGTAACACAGTACCATGCTTTGAGTCCTAATAATTGACTCCGCATATTTTGGATATAGTCTGAATGTTGGACTGAGGGGGGGAAACATCTCTTTAGCAGCTGCATATATTTGAGCGGCCACTTTTTTCCATTTTTTTTTTATTCTCTATGCTTGTCCCTTTCATTCTGAGAACTCTCAGTCTAATTGATATAACATGAATATTGAGTAATTAAATAGTTATAGATGTTATTTGGTCCAATAGATTTATGGACATGACCTTTGACTCATAAATTCTTTTAAATGGGTGTATGTATGTGTGTAACTTGTTTCGTTTCTTCTTTTTAATCAATAAAGGTCATCAGAGCAGTCAATGATCTCTGTCAATCTCTAAATTATAACATTTCACCTTATTTGAATTATTTGGGTTTGAGATGTTGAGCCAACACCATTCTTTTATGCAAGGAATGTCTTTGATACACGTGTTTGTGGTGTGTTCTCCCCTACATATGCTTATAAGAATTAAGCCTGGTAGGGTCTCTTTTTTCTTTTCATTTTTATGCATAGAATGGAGATAGATTATCACACCTGTCAGTTTTTATGGTGGTCTGTGTCCCGATTAGGGAGATTCACCCTATTTGTCCTGTTTACCATTATCACCGAAAGTGGAAGAAAATCCCAAAGTTTGGGTTGCCACTAGAACAGGAATTGAGGGGAAAATCTTTCAGGGGGTACAAAAGTTCTGGTGATAACCTGGGATTCCCTGACTTTGGAGGGAATTCATCTTGCTTGCTATTTTGGCTATGGGACAGGAAGTGAAGTATAACACTACTCCCTTAAGGGTCGCTTAGTAATTTTTGGGTTCCCTGTCAATCTGGACCTGTCATTGAAAGCCCAACCTCTGTTGACACCACTGTGCTCTGATGTCGCAAAGAAATCTCACACCTGTAAAATGGACTTGCACACAAAGTAGTATAAATCAAAATGAAGTTTGTATTTGGAATTGGAGTTACCTAAGTCAAGAATAACAAAATAACACTGATCTAGACAGCAAATATGATCACTCTTGGCAATTGTGAGCAAAAGTAACGACATTCACAAAGAAGCAACAGTGACTATTAGCAGGCCTGCTTTCAGAAATAATCCATTGCCTCCAATCTGAGGGGACTGTTGAATCCCCAGTGTGCAGGAATGACTCTCAATAACAAATATGCTCACTGTGGGTCCTCAGAGCTGGATAACTAGGATTAGATGTCCAATAAATAAAATTCTCAGTTATAATTGGCAGTGTCCCTTTTTAAGAGCTCTGTAATGTCTTATGTGCGCTTGTTGGGGTCCAATTGATGTGAAATTGCTTCAAGAGGTGGATAGTAGTTCCGTAGGGTGATAACATCAACGATAGTGGAGAAAAGGAGAAGATTTAACACTTCCCTGATTGATTGTAAATAATTACTGCAAGATTCCCTTTAAGAATTCTAACCATGAATTGATGTAGTAAATAGCAACGCTTTGCATAAATGTCTATGGACAGTCATTTCTCTCTCTCCTCCCTCTCTCTCTCCCCCTCTCTCTCCCCTCATAAAGTGTAGTAAGTCAGTAAAAAAAACAATATTTATAAGTCACACTTTATTTCAGGTACTTTTATAGCGCTGTCAATTTACGCAGTGCTTTACATATATATATTGTACATTCACATCAGTCCCTAACCCTCAAGGGGCGTACAATCTAAGGTACCTAACTTACATTCATACATACACATACTAGGGACAATTTAGACAGAAGCCAATTAACCTAGCAGCACGTCTTTGGAGTGTGGGAGGAGACCGGAGTACCCAGAGGAAACCCACGCAGGCACAGGGAGAACATGCAAACGCCAGGCAGGAGGTGCCGTGGCTGGGATTCGAACCAGCGACCCTAGTACTGCCAGGCGGAAGTGCTAACCATTTAGCCACTGTGCTGCCCCACTTACATGGTATATTAAAATTACAAGTGCTTTAGAACAACTATGGATCCTCTCACTTCCTCAAAAACTGCCTCAGCCCACGCCCTACACGTTACATCACTGTCACGTGACTTCATCAGGGAGTCATGTGAAGTGAAGGTTTTTGAGGAAGTGAAAGGATCCATGGTTGTTTTAAAGCGCTTGCCATTTTAATTTACTATGTAAGTGTGATTTTTAATATTATTTTTTTTTTTTTTTACTGACTTACTACACTATATGAGGCATTCTTTCATTTGGGTAAGGTACTGGCATCTGGTGGAACGGAGGATTTCCATTATTACTTATTATCCATTATATGGGAGGAGGACTGGATAGCCTCTAGTGGATAAATAAGATATTGCGAGGTCCTGATTTATGGAGATGTCTTATTAAATGCATACAAGTGTTACATGCGTTGGAGGTGACTGGTATCCACTGAGATGGAGGATTTTATTACCATCTTAAAAGTATCCATTATACGGGAGGAGCAACAGACTAAGTCACGGTCTCGATGTGTGGAGATGTCATATTAACACGCGGTTTTTACATGCGTTGCAGGTGAGAGTTCTGTGAGCACGGAATTGAAATCACACTGTTGGATCATGTGATATTTGGAAACTTATGAACTTATTTATTGAAAGCCAGGGGCGTCGCTAGGGTTGGTGTCACCCGGTGCGGTAACATGTGGAGTCACCCCTCCAGAGGTGGGTGGTCCCTGTCGTGCACACACAGCCTGGCTCTTCCCCTCCCTGTGTTCCTGTCTGATGCATTATGCTCCCCAATCCGCAGATCTGATCCATCTTGCGGGGATCGTCCGCTTGCAACCTATACGGGGTTAACTGATCTTGCAACACTGGTCGGGGGGGGGGGGGGTTGTGACGGGGACATAGGGAGGGGAAGAGCCAGGCTGTGTGTGCATGACAGGGACCGCCCACCTCTGGGGTGACGCCATGTGTTAACACAGATCCAATTCATTTTGCAGAGATCATCAGCTTTACTTTTTGGTGTCACCCCATGAGATAGGTGTCACCCAGTGCAGCGTGCACCCACCTAGGGACGCCACTGTTGAAAGCACTTTTAGTATCTTTATTCACATTATTCATTTATTTATATTTTGGATCATGTGATATCTGGAAATTTATTAACTCATTTATTGAAAGCATTTTAGTATTTTTATTCACATTTATCCATGTATTTATGGTCTATGTTCTTGGTCATTTATTCATATTATGATTATGAGCACAGTTTATTCACCTGTATTGTTTATTAGTACTGATTGATGTTCATTAGCACTGCTACATCACCTTTAATTAATTAATTTACTTATTTAGTTGATATTGTGGGAAAACAATTGATGTCAGCAGCAGCACCTATTCCTTTGTTTATATTGTATACAGTGTTAATGTGTAATACATATGTAAAGTGCTGAATAAATTGACAGTGCTATACAAGTACCTAAGGGGGGGGGGGGGGAAATAAAAGGTTAGACACAAGGTATACATTCCTAACACATAGGACTTCAGTTTTTTCAGTCATTGATGTTCAACATTACATGTGTATCAGGGGCGGACTGACCATTTGGAAACTCGGGCACTGCCCAAGGGCCTGGAGTCAGTAGGGGGCCCCATGAGATGCCCCTGGTACCTTTTTTTTCATAGGCTTTTTTGAGTTTGGGCAAGGACACAGTGGCCTCATGATCCCTCTATTGCCCGGGGGCCCCATGAGTTGTCAGTCCGCCCCTGATGTGTATGTGACAACAGTTTCTTGTGTTCAGAAAGCTAATATTACAGCACCCTGCCAGCCCTTCCAACCAGCTATTGTCTGCCTGCATTGCATAGAGGAGCACAGAGAGTCATTGATGATGTCATTGGACCCAACATTGTTGTAAACATGTATTGCAAACTGGTTTTATTCAACATGTTGGTGACAGGAGGGCTAAATCTAATCAGATTAAACTTTTAGCTTTAAAGTGACACTAAAGCCAGCTATAACTGGGTCACAAATTTGGCTTCAGCAGCGACTGGCCAAAATTCGATCCATCAATGGGCAGGCTAATTGTACTAAAGTCGATCCATCAAAAGCACTTTAGTATCTTTATTCACATTATTCATTTATTTATATTTCGGATCATGTGATATTTGGAAATGTATTAACTCATTTATTGAAAGCACTTTAGTATTTTTATCCTTCAATGGGCATGCTGATCGTACTTTAAGTCGATCCATCGAAAGCACTTTAGAATCTTTATTCACATTATTCATTTCTTTATATTTCGGATAATGTGATATTTGGAAATTTTATTAACTGGATCACAAATTTGGCCAAAATTTGATCCATCAATGGGCAGGCTGATTGTACTTAAGTCGATCCATCAAATGACTTCAGTACAACCAGCCTGTTGTGTGGTTTGTTTTTTTTTTTGTTGATCACTGCCAGCAGCTATATAGCTGTGTTACTGTATGCTGATGGGGAATTGAGCAAGTTTCTTTTTTGCAGGAAAGAAAATTGCTTAATGTAAGGCCTGCTTAAAGCTCCATTCACACTAGTGCGATTTCCGATTTTGCCCAGAATTGCATGACCATGGAAATCACATTGTTTCCAATGGTGCCCATTCGCATCAATGCAACTCAGCACGGCGTGATTTTGTAAAAGGTGCCTGTGATACTTTTGGTGCGATTCCAACGCAATTTTGGCCCTGTAGAATATGCAAACGACATCCATGTTATTTCCAAGGTGCAATACATAATTTACATTGAATTCGGATCACAATCCGACTGCAGCAGTGTGAACCTTACCAAAAACAATATCCTTGTGTAGTGGGTCTATGCCGCTCCAGGTGAGCAAGAAAAAGGCTGCTTGGTTGTGTAGTCCTCTGTGAAGTTGCTGCTCGGCCCACCGGCTGTACCAGAGAAAACCAGAATGAAGCGAAAAGCTGCACTCTTCTAAGACTTTATTCATTCACAGGTCAGACTGCACAAAAATGGGGTACAGATGGATAAACTTGACGCGTTTCGCTCTGTTTTAGTGCTTAGCCATAATTAATTTGACTACTATGGCTAAAACAGAGCTAAAACAGAGCAAAACGCATCACGTTTAGTCCCCTGCTGTACCCCATTTTTGTGATGTCTGACCCACCCTGGGCCCGGACTGACAACTCATTGGGCCCCCGGGTAATAGGAAATTATGGTGTCCCTGTGTCCTCGCTAACACTAAAAAGACTAAAGACCTTTTTTTTTCTCAGTTTTAGACAGAGTGGAGATGATTTAGAACACCTATCAATGGCCCCATTGGGAAAGACTCACCCCTCTCTGTTTTTCATGTTTTAATTTCTCGCCGAAGGTGAAAGTACAGGAGGATCCCATATTTTGAGTTATTTTCCCAGAACAGGAATAGAGGGGGAATCTTCCAATGGGGACATTAGTTTTGGTGACATACAGGGATTCCCTTCACTTCCTGGCAAAAAGGAAAAATTAAAAAAGCGAGCAAAAGAAGGTGGCTACATTCCTACATAGTGTGGGACCATGGGGAAACAATGTTGCCATCCTCTAATAGGAAATCAGATCACATCAAAAAAAGAAAAAAAGGAGGAGGCTGAGAGCAATAGAAGGGACTTTTTGTGTTAGTGTTACTAAACCCACAACAGTAAAATCAGTCTGTATATGCAGTAAAGCATGCTTGTTATACTCACTGTGGAACCTAAGGGGTTAAATCTCCACACTGTGTAAAATGCTGTTTTGATCCTGTCTTCTCTGATCCTCCCCTTCTTCCTGATAGAACAGAGGCTAGGGACAAGCTGCACATGCTTAGTTTGGTATGTATTGTATAAAAATTTCATATGGGTACAGTGTTGCATGACCACACAATTGTCATTCAAAGTGCGACAGCGCTGAAAGCTGAAAATTGGCCTGGGCAGGAAGGGGGTATAAATGCCCTGTAGGCAAGTGGTTTAAAAAAACAAAAAAAACACCAAATGACTAAATAGCTTTGACATATTTTGCAAAGCCTTTCTAAGGCAGGAGCAAACCTCATGAGCCCTGAAGGCGTTTACAATCCAATGCTCTTACCACATTCTTCAAGTGTCACTCATATGCATTCTGCAGCCAGTTTGGACAGATTCAATTACTACGTTGTTTTTGGGCTGTAGGAGCAAACTGGAATACTACAGGAACACAAAACATAAGGACAGCATGCAAACTATATGCTGTCGCCAGATAGCCATGTCTGCATGGAGTTTGTATATTCTCTCTACTTACAGCAGTATACATTTGTGGCAGATGCCTCACTTTAAACACTTAGAAATCAGTACAGAGTACTGTATGAGACAGTCATTGGCATAGATGATTTAAATGAGCATATGTAAACCAAAGAACCAAAATGTAATATATTGCAGCATACCAGCCCTTAGATGTGGTGGCTGCATTAGTTTCATTTTTTTTTCAGCTGGTGATCCTGCCAGTAACACACTGCCTGTTGTGTGGTTGCTCACTCTCCATAGTGTATATATGAAGAAGAAATATTGTTGCCCTGGGACAGGAAGGCTAAGTTCACACCTATGCGTGCTGCAATTGATGCGTTCTTTTTTCGGGCAATTTTACATTTGTTTACATGTTTTTGATGCTTTTTTTAATTTTTTTGCCAATAGTAAAGTATTGCGTGTGAATTCACACTCTCTGGCACTCAGTCGCATCAAATTAGTGCAGGAACCTTTTCAAATTCACTGTGACTTTAAGTCAGATAGATTTGAAGGCGTTTCATTACCATCAATGGACTGTGACTTGTGATGGGGCTTGACAGTCGCATGACAAGTCGTAGCCCATTTATGGTAATGGAACCCCTTCAAATCTATGGGACTTAAAGTTGCAGTCACTTTGAAAATGTCCCTGCATTACTTTGATTTGACTTGCGTGCCAGAGAGTGTAACGTTGCATCAAAGCTGCACTCAATGCTTTACTATTGGCCAACAAAAGTGAAAAATGCAACACTTGCATTTTTGGTGTGGTTCTATTGAAGTCTCTTGTGCCAAAAATGCAATCTGCTGCAGGAGTAAAAGTCCCTGACCCTTTCCAAAAAACACAGCGTCTGAAAACGCATAGATGTGAATGTGTCTGGCAGTGGCGGTGATCAGCGACTTATAATGGGACTGCAATAGGGCAGTGAACAATCTGGCACTGGGTAGGAACTGACTACATGACACTGACATTATCAGTGACACTAATACAGTGATCAGTGATAATACACTGTCACTGTAATAATGGCACTGGATGGAAAGGGGTTAACATCTAGGGCAATCAAAGGGTTAAATGTGTGCATAACTGTGTGTGTGTGCTTTTAGCCCTGGTTCACATATATATGGCCGTGCGGGCTGCGTTTTGCGTGGGCACGAGAGCCCATTAATTTGAATGGACTCCCGTGCTGTGGGACATGCAGGTAAGAAGTCCCTGCACTTCTTCGGAAAACGCAGCCCACACAGGAACCTCGGATCCCAGTACGGTTGGGATTTCCAGTGCGGGCGGCGTGCCATTAGAATTAATGGCACCACCCCGCGGGTCGGCATTCTTCTGTGCAGGTGGTGCGGCTGCACGGATTTTTGTGTGGATCCGCAGCGGCACCACCAGCACATATGTGCACCGCTGGCATCCTAACACTCAGTGATATCATTGGTTGATAAGGAGGACATCAGGTGCCTGAATAGCATCCTCGTTTGTCCCTTTCCATCAGCACTGAGGTCACATTAGCTGAGTGAGGGAGAGAAACTGAGGGAGAAGAGAAACAATGGAATACTAGTCAGTACCAGTGTGCAAAGGTGTATTTGCTTTGAAAGAATAAATCGCCTCTAATGTTGGGTATCCTACATGTGGAAGTTGCTGCATTATATAAAACTATTAGTTTCAGGGTTTTTTTTTTCATTTTATTGTGGGGTGCTGTGAGATTGTGCAGAATTTTAATCGGTGCCTGGACTGAAAGATTGAGAAACACTGGTCTCTACTATACTTTTCAGCTTGCTATAGGGGCATTCTGAAGGCAGGAGGAGCCAGAAGCACTGGCGAGGGACCCCAGAAGAGGAGAATCGGCTCTGCTCTGTGCAAAACCATTACACAGAGCAGGTAAGTATGATGTGTTTGTAGTTTTAAGACAAAAAAATCCAACGTTTGCAATCACTTTATGGGCTTTGTGCAGGGAAGATCAGCATATAGATCGCAGAGAAGCTGGTAGACTGAAGAGTATATAAGGCATCACAAGTAAATGTAAAGTAAAGGTCTGCCAGTACTTTGCATTATATTTAAAAATGATTGTATCCATGGAAAAAAGTCTCAGCCTTTAGTACCTCTTTAACATAAAAGATTTATATCCCCTCCACCCTTCGTATAGCTTCATATCTGACTCCTATTCAAAATACCTGGCGTATACACTTCTGGTTATGTATATGTGTGTGTGTGTGTGTGTGTGTGTATATGTGTGTGTGTGTGTATATGTGTGTGTGTGTGTGTATGTGTGTGTATATATATATATATATATATATATATATATATATATATATACATACACACACACACACACACTATATTGCCAAAAGTATTGGGACCCCTGCCTTTGCACGCACATGAACTTTAATGGCATCCCAGTCTTATTCTGTAGGGTTCAATATTGAGTTGCCCCGCCCTTTGCAGCTATTACAGCTTCAACTCTTCTGAGAAGGCTGTCCACAAGGTTTAGGAGTGTGTCTATGGGAATGTTTGACCAGTCTTCCATGAATATTCAGATATCTGCCCCTGTACCCCCACCCACTAGCTTCTAGAAGTTTCTGGAAACTTCCAGAGCCAGGGGGAGGCGACTGAGGCCTGACCAGCAGAGCTCTCCAGCCTGATTTGAGCTTGAACCCCACAGGTACACTCACTTTAGCTACTACTGAGTCAACTATGCACACTAAAGTGTGCTACACTACCAACAACTATGGAGTGCAAGGCCCTACCTGACTGCTAAATCAATGAGGCAAATTAGAAAGCTGCTGATATTGCATACATTATATTGCCAAAAGTATTAGGACTCCTGCCTTTACATGCACATGAACTTTAATGCATCCCAGTCTTAGTCCGTAGGGTTCAATATTGAGTTGGCCCACCCTTTATAGCTATAACAGCTTCAACTCTTCTGGGAAGGTTGCCCACAAGGTTTAGGAGGTGTCTATGGGAAGGTTTGACCATTATTCCAGAAGTGCATTTGTGAGGTCAGGTACTGATGTCGGACGAGAAGGTCTGGCTCGCAGTCTCCACTCTAATTCATCCCAAAGGTGTCCTATGGGGTTGAGGTCAGAACACTGCACAGGCCAGTCAAGTTCCTTCACCCCAGACTCGCTCATCCATGTCTTTATGGACCTTGCTTTGTGCACTGGTGTGCAGTCATATTAAAACAGGAAGGGGCCATCCCCAAACTGTTCCCACAAAGTTTGGAGCATGAAAATGTCCAAAATGTCTTGGTATGCTGATGCCTTAAGAGTTCCCTTCATTGGAACTAAGGGGTCAAGCCCAATCCCTGAAGAACAACCCCACACCATAATCCCCCTCCACCACACTTTACACTTGGCACATTGCAGTCAAGCAAATACCATTCTCCTGGCAACCGCCAAATCCAGACACATCCATTGGATTGCCAGACAGAGAAGCTTGATTGGTCACTCCAGAGAACATGTCTCCACCGCTCTATAGTCCAGTGGTGGCATACTTTACACAACACTTTGCATTGCACTTGGTTATGTAAGACTTGGATGCAGCTGCTCGGCCATGGAAACCCTTTCCATGAAACTCTCTACATACTGTTGTTGTGCTAATCTGAAGGCCACATGAAGTTTGGAGATCTTTAGCTATTGATTCTGCAGATAGTTGGCAACATCTGCACACTGTGCTCTTCAAGCATGCGCTGACCCCGCTCTGTCATTTTACGTGGCCTACCGCTTCATGGCTGAGTTGCTGTTGTTCCCAGTTGCTTCCACTTTGTTATAATACCACTGACAGTTGACCGTGGAATATTTAGTAGCAAGGAAATGTCACGGATGGATTTATTGCACAGGTGGAAACCTATCACGGGACCACGCTTGAATTTACTGAGCTCCTGAGAGCGACCCATTCTTTCACAAATGTTTGTAGAAGCAGTCTGCATGCCTAGGGGCTTGATTTTATACACCTGTGGCCATGGAGGTGATTAGAACACCTGAATCCAATGGTTTGGAAAACGCAGAGTTATTATTATAATATAATTATAATATATAGTGTATATGTGTGTGTGTGTATATAAATTTCACTATTTCCCAGTATAAATTAACCCCCTGTATAGCAGTGATTATCTGTTGTTTTTGTACTATAAAGGGATCATTTTTGCTTTTTTAATCCCATCAGGACAGGTGATAAAAAATAAAAAACATGCTGCTGCTACTATGTGTTTTATGCTGACCGTCCATGTAAAGATTTATGGACAAGAATATTTGTATGAAACTTGTTTGTACATGAATGGGTGAATGTTATGTGAAAATTGCACTTGCTTTTAACTTGTAAATTTTAAAATGAATGTAATTTCTGAACGAACCACATACACTATCTGAAAATTCATTCCATTGAAAAAAGGAAAAAAGTTTTAAATTTTACTCCTTTTGCATTTTTCTGTAACGGTGGTTGAAGATGAACATCGATTGGACCCCACTAATGATTAGAAAATAGAATGAACATTCTTAAAATAATTTTTTTTTTTTTTTTTTTTTTAAGGAAGAATGTGGTCATGTATGGCCAGCACTAGTGACAGCAGGCGCAGGGAGCTTTGTATCAAGCTACCTGCCTATGAAAAGCTAGTCTGTCATGCATAATATTATATAACACCCCGGTCACATCAAACCCGAGTTTGAAATCCTGCGATTTACAGTGAAGTCGCACGATTTCAAAGTCGGGTGAACTGCCGATTTCAGGTGCGATTTGCAAGATATCTGAAACACATGTCTATGCAAATTGCACAAAAAGTAGTGCGTGTACTACTTTGGAAATCTGTGTGGTTCCGACTTGGTATGACCGCTGTAATTGCCGACAATAGGGTGCGACTTGGCATGCGACTTGGAAATCGCATGTCATGCAAATGCGCATCCAGTGTGACCGGGGTCTTACAGTCCTGTGTGAAAATCTGCAAAACCGTGTTTTATATCTTTTTAAAAAATGTTTTTCTTTTAAATACAATTTTGATCTCTGAGTACCAGATATAAACTGTAATAGTGTCTATATCTCTTCTGTTTGTTCTTCTGAGTGGATTAGAAATGTTCCCCAACTATATAGCTGATTATTTATATTTCCCACTGCGTATAGATATACAAGAATAAATTTTCTTTTTTTTTTTTTTTTTAAACTTTGTGCAGACTCGTTGGACACTCGGTCTTTTTCTGCCTTCACTTTTCTATATATCTAATAGTCGGCCAACTAATCGATTATGAAAATATTTGTTCGTTACAGCCCTAGTTTTAACACATCCTCCAATTATTACAAAGACTTTAAGGAAGTTTGCCTTTTTCATTTACTATAAGCAGGTAAAGCTAGTGCTGAGAATGATGATGTGTAGCTCTTGCGCAGTCACGCTTTGACATAATGTTTGAGATTATCCGGCAGGGTCTCTCTGTCAGTAGTCCAGTTTATCTGAGTGTATTACAGAAACCATTCAGAGAGATCTTTTCCTCTATTTAGTGTGTCATGTGTGAGATTGTGCAAAGCTTTGCTGGTGTGGCAAGATTTCCCTGCTAGAGAGGAAGAAATGGCATCATATGACCGCAGAGGGTGAGGATAGTGTTTGAGCAACACTTATCTGGTCAGCCTGTAGTGCTGGGGAGGGGGAAGGGATCTGTATTGTGTGAGCACATTGGCATGCAGAGAACAACTTTAGCTACAAAATATAGCCTGTTGGTGATTGTCTGATATATATATATATATATATATATATATATATATATATATTATATTTATATATTATTATTAAATTTTTTTTTATTTATTGTATTCAGATCTGTTTGTAAAATATACTAATTTTAAACTTCTGTAGACCTCAAATCTGTTTTTGGCATCATGCCCCGAAATTGTAAATGCCTGGGGGTGTATTTATAAAAAAAATTTGCACTGTTATTCATCCGGCAAAACCATGAAATTCATTCTTTGCAATTGGGGGCAAAATCGAATGTTATTAGACTATTTTCTCTCCAGGTTGAATGTTATTTACTGATATTGAACGGAGTGATTCAGGAAAATTCCATATCATGGCCGCTAGATCTCAACCATTGGACCTTGGGCCACTGCAGTGCCAGGAACTCCCCTCTACTAGGCCTCCAGCCAGTTATAGATCCTTTAACCTTCCCTAGTGCCACCAACCTTCCATAGTGGCACATAGTGTCCCCAGGCCTCAGGATAGCCCTCAGCCTTTACAATGCCCCCAACCTGCTGCAGTGCTTCCAGCCCTCCATAGTGCCTCTAACCTCCATCAGTACTCCCCAGCCCCCCCAGACACCTCATCCTCATTTGGCTGCAGAGTACCCTAATGCAATAACCCCCCCCCGCCCATAGTGACACCAGCTCCATCCATGTTTTTTACCGTCATACATTTGTTGTGTGCGTATAAGCTTTCTATTATTTACTATTGGGACATGAAAGGTTTTTCGAAGAATTTACCAGACCTTGGTTTCAAAAAGGTTGAGAACCACTGAACTAGGTGGATTTGATGACCATAGTAAATAAGTATTGCCTATGATGGTCTGCTCCATCTGGTGGCTGTAATGCATATTTTCCTGATTCACTCTGTTCTGTATCAATTAAATGAATAACATTTAGACCTGGAGAGATGTTGACCTAATAACATTCAATTTTGCCCCTTTCCAACACAGGAAGAAAAGCTCTGTAATTTAAAAAAAAAAATTCAGTCCTTTGTGTTGCAGGCAGGGGCGGACTGACCATTTGGAAACTCGGGCACTGCCCGAGGGTCCGGGGTCAGTAGGGGGCCCCAGGAGATGCCCCTGCTACCTTTTTCATAGGCTTTTTTGAGTTTGGGCAAGGACACAGGGGCCCCATGATCCCCTATTGCCCAGCGCCCTTGGTTGCAGGTTAACAATACTAATCCAATGCCTCTCAATAAGCAGTGTTGTCAGCCTGCCCTGCGCACTCCTTCAGTTGACCATTGGGCTGCCTATCAGGTCTATCGGATCAACTGAAGGAGTGTATGTGGCCTTGGCTGAGCACTGTCAGCCTGTAACAGGAAGTACAGTTACTGACAGGATCTCCAGGTAAGCATCTTTGCAAAAGATTAACAAAAAAAGATTTGTTTAGCAAAACGGTACACAGTGATGCATGATGTCTAACATAGTAAAGAAGATAGATTTTGGGGAATATTTATAAAGCAGAGAATGTATAGTGAAAGTTACATTCACTGCGTTATAAATCTGCCCTTACCCCAGGTTCACACTTAAGCGTTTTCCGCAGCATTTTGCAGAAACGCACCACAGTCCATTTAACATGATTTCCTATGGGACACGTTCACATCTCTGCGTTTTCACCCGGTGCGTTTTTTGTAAAGGATCAGGGACTTTTTAATGTGTTTTCGGTTCTAAAGACTTCAATGGAAATGCTGCAGAAAAGCATGTTGTGCGTTTTTGCTGCGTTTTTTTGCATTTTTTAATCTGCCTAGCAACAAGAAAAAAAATAAAAAAAATGTAAAAAAATGCAAAACGCAACAAAAATGCACTGCAGAAACAGATCAAACGCAAACTGCATAGGCGTGAACCTAGCCTTAGGCAGTGCTTTAGGAGCACACACATTTTTTTCACACATCATTTTGCTGTGTTAGGCAGCCTATCCAAAATTAATGAGAAGTCGCAAAGCTCAGCAGGCAGAATTCGGACCTTCCGTTTTTTTGACCGTGCGCCAACCTGCAGTGCATATGGCACTGTGCATTACAGTGCTGCACACCTCCGTCAGAGTGAATGGGGCCGCATTGCAAATAGCCTGGTGCTGAGGGCCATTGTTGTAACACACATGGGAATGTGCAAGTTTCCACAATACAACATTGTGAACGGGGCCATAATGCATGCTTCCCAACCTTCTGAGATAGTAATGAGGGACACCTACAGGTGAAACTCGAAAAATTAGAATATCGTACAAAAGTTCATTTATTTCAGTAATGCAACTTAAAAGGTGAAACTAATATATGAGATAGACTCATTACATGCAAAGCAAGATAGTTCAAGCCGTGATTTGTCACAACTGTGATGATTATGGCTTACAGCTCATGAAAACCCCAAATCCACAATCTCAGAAAATTAGAATATTGTGAAAAGGTGCAATATTCTCGGCTCAAAGTGTCCCAGTCTAATCAGCTAATTAAGCCATAACATTTGCAAAGGGTTCCTGAGCCTTTAAATGGTCTCTCAGTCTGGTTCAGTAGGAATCACAATCATAGGAAAGACTGCTGACCTGACAGTTGTGCAGAAAACCATCATTGACACCCTCCATAAGGAGGGAAAGCCTCAAAAAGTAATTGCAAAAGAACTTGAATGTTCCCAAAGTGTTGTATCAAAGCACATTAATAGAGTTATGTGGAAGGGAAAAGTGTGGAAGAAAAAGGTGCACAAGCAGCAGGGATGACCGCAGCCTGGAGAGGATTGTCAGGAAAAGTCCATTCAAAAGTGTTGGGGACGTTCACAAGGAGTGGACTGAGGCTGGAGTCAGTGCATCAAGAGCCACCACACACAGATGGATCCTGGACATGGGCTTCAAATGTCGTATTCCTATTGTCAAGCCGCTCCTGAACAACAAACAACGTCAGAAGCGTCTTACCTGGGCTAAAGAAAAACAGACCTGCTCTGTTGCTCAGTGGTCCAAAGTCCTCTTATCTGATGAGAGCAACTTTTGCATCTCATTTGGAAACCAAGGACCCAGAATATGGAGGAAGAATGGAGAGGCACACACTGCACGATGCTTGAAGTCCAGTGTGAAGTTTCCACAGTCTGTGTTGATTTGGGGAGCCATGTCATCTGCTGGTGTTGGTCCACTGTGCTTCATTAAGTCCAGGGTCAACGCAGCCGTCTACCAGGAGATTTTGGAGCACTTCATGCTTCCTTCCGCAGACAAGCTTTATGGGGATGCTGACTT